AACTCACATTTTAAACAATCCTGCTGGGATCTTTGCTCTTGACTCTCAGCAAAAATCTGGCTAAAAGCCCCCAACAATAGCCATGACACTGCCCCATCATTCAACTGCCTTGAAATTTATTTTGCCAGATTAATCAGTCCACTACCCTTAATCTCAGTCTCAGGCAAAGTCTCTGGACACAAGCAGAATGCAGACAAACTTTCTGCCAAGCCACACACACATGATCTGGAGTCCAACAACCAATGCAGTCCTTCTTCCCAGCTGAAACCTCCCAAACCCGGTCTTTACCAGCAGGATTTCTGTCAGCCTTCTGGTCCTCTGAGCTTTGACCAGAATTTCCCATACAGAACAGCTGAAAGCATTCGAGCTCTATTTCAGGGGACAGCTCTACACCTTTCCAAACACTTCCCACAAGCCATTTCCAAAGGTTCTTGAACCACATGGTCAGGTATAGTCACAGCAATGACTCCACTCCTGGTACCAAATTCTGTCTTGGTTACTTTTCTCTTATTGCTGAGACAAAATACCCGACATCCAAAATTAAGGAAGGAAAGGTTTATTTAGCTCACAGTTTGTGGAGGTTTCAGTCCATACTCAGCTGGCTCTAAGGCAGGGTGGCACATGACAGAGGGCAAACAGTTCATGGCAGTGGAAGACAGCAAAAGCAATAAGAGCATAAGGGGAGGAGCAGAGGCAAGCAGTCTCTTTCCCTTCCTTGCATTATATGCAAACTACCCACCCCAACATGGGTGTAGCACTGTCACACATGAATCAATCCTAAACTCTGAAAGCTTGCCCCATGACAGCATGAGGCTTTGAGGGGACATCCAGACACAAAGCATAGCAATGAGAAACAAAAAATATAAATAAAGAGCAAAATAAAAGATAGATAATAGAAAATAAGGAGCTAGATCTTAGTAAATGAGAATAGGACCAAGAAATGGAGGGAGTGAGGAGAGGGAAGGAGCTGAAAAAATAATTAAGATGTAATATGTACATGTACCAGCTCTACACAAGGAATATGATCTTATCATGTAGTGCAAACATATACCAATAAAAGTTAAAATGAAAAATTCTGCTTAATACATTTTGTAGTATGCACTGTCAGTGGTACCTGCCCACTGTCTCTGAGGGTTCCACATCCATGGAGTTCATGAAAATTCATCTTTTCCTACTCTTACAGTATGGCTCACTTTTGACACTAGATTTGTGGGACTTTTTCCCCCTCATCTACCAAATGAGCAATAAATTTTCAGCTGACACTATTACAGGCAGTTATGTTAGATGGAAATTAGTCAAAGAGGGGCCGGGTTAAGGAAGTCAGCACAAAAATAAAGACACCAAAATTGTGGCTGGAGGGGCATCGGAAGAAGGCTAGGCCTACATGCTTTACTAAGGGATAGTAACTTGGAATTACATTGTAATTAGCACCACCTGGTCCAGTAAGTCCAGCAGGGCATCAGCCCCCAGATGGGTGACCAGAGCTCTGGACCCATCCTTTCCCCAAAATGCCTTTGTTCTTTCCATGTACCCTTGCTACATGATTCCTTTCCCTACTGGATCAATATTAGCTAAGTGGCTATACTTCTAATCCTACAGGTTGATGTCTAATCCTACACATTCTGACTTTGCTGTATAAATTATCCTTGACAAAGGGCCTCCTTGGCCACCCCATTTGGGACCTCTCCTGGAAATGTAAGAGCTATTCTTCTTCACCTTATTTCCAATAAAACCTCTTGATTTCCTCTTTTTTATTTTTTATTTTTTTGCTTTTGGTTAGTGACTTCATTCTTCCATGTTGTAGGACCATGAACTCAGCAGACTTGACATCTAACAATCATGAGTTATATTTCTCCTTTATCAATACCAGCTGAGTGTTCTGTAATATAATTTTTTATTTTTATGATCTTAAATGGCTTCATTTTGTATTTTAGCATCAGGCAACACTTCATTCCATAAGGTAGAATTTGCTTTTCAGGGCTGGGTATTGAACCCAGGGTCTCTTGTATGCTAAGCAAACCTCTCCCACACTAAGACCTAAGCTAAAATGGTTGGAGGAAAGGAAAAAATAGCTTCCACAGTTGAAGGCCACAGGACTCAGGGAAGATCAAGGCAGAGTTCATGGATCTGCTGAATACACTCACTGAGAGGCAGTTACAGTACAGGATCAGAGAAGGTACAAATATTTGTACAATGAGGGCATATATTAGGACAGGAGAAACCCAGCATAGATCTTGGGCAAGAGCCATGCCACTCCTACCTGCAGTCAACACCCACCCCTGGACTTCACCTCCTTTCACCCAACTGCCCAGGTTAACCTCAGGCCCACATCAGCCTAGATAACTGAAAGGACTCACATGAAGCAGAACAGCGGTTATAACTGTTGCTCTGGGAATCCCTGTGCAGAATTTCTTGTTTATCCTGTTACAAAAACAAGAGAGGAAAAGGCAAAGTGAAGATTTATCTCATAGAACAAAACAAAATGGAGAAACAACAACAACAAAAGGATCCCTCCAAAGATTTTTTAGATGGATGAATGGTACCTGGGGGTCTGTACAAATAACGGTCAGACACCGGGATGTGACTGGACATAAGGATTACAGAGCACACCTACCTGCACCTTTGGTGTTTTAGTCCAGTATGTACACCACAGCAGGGTTTCCAGCTAATTAAGAGTCCCCTGAAGGTCACAATTTAGTGAAAACAAACATTGTTTTTCTTTCTTCTCTTTCTGGAGATTGAACCCAGGGTCTGGTTCATGCTACCAAAGGCTCTACCTCTCTCTCCATCCCCAGCTTTTTTATTTTTAAATTTTTGTTATTAGTTTTCAGGGTCTGAGAATAGACCCAAGGGTCTTAGCACTGACCTCCATTCCCAGAACTTTTTACTTTTTGATTCTCAGAAATTTGCCCAGGCTGGTTTTGATTGGTGATCCAGCTCAGCCTCCCCAGTAGCAGTGATTATGGGCAAGCACCACTACTTCTGTCAACAGCAAATGCTTCTTAAATGATTTGAGGATAGTTAGCATGTGCATTTCTTGTTAAAAAGTTTAAAATAATTTACAGACTTGCTCTTGAATGCATGTGTACAAAATGGAGGTGGGTATTATAACTGCAATATTTTATTTTTGTCTTTTCGCTGTGCAGTTCAGGCTGGCCTTGAGCTCACCTTGTAGCCCAGGCTGGTCTCGAACTCACAGTGATCTCCTGCCTCAGCCTCCCGAGTGCTGGAATTACAGGCGTGTGCCACCACACCTGGCCTATAACTGCAATATTTTAAAATAAGGTAAAGAGTTTAAAATGAATCATTCCCAAACCAATATGCTGGTTTGTCTAAATAGGACCTAATGAGAAGAATTCTATCCAGGCGTGGTAGAATTCTGTCCAGGTGTGATTACGCCTGAAAGAACAACTGGGGATGTAGTCTAGTACAGAGCACTGGGTCAAGATTGGAAGGCTTTGGGGGTCAGACACGCAGCATTCCACAACGCCGTCATGCGGTTAAGAGGTCTTTCTAAACCATCAGCACCTGGACTCTTTTAAATCTGCCACTGCCTTTATCTTAGAGGGATCACGCAGAGAATTGTGGGAAATGCAGTCGACCAACTGAATTACGTCACAGAACCAGAGTGCTCCCAATAATCGCCATCTTTTTACCGGAAGTTCCGGGTATTGCCCCGCCCTACAGTTACTTTACTGGCTGAGGGAGTTGGTTCTGAGTTTCGGAAGGTTGGTGGGAGCACTCCTGTAATCCGAGCACTAGGGAGGCTGAGGCAGGAGGATCTTTGCGAGTTAGAAACCAGCCTGGTCTACAAGGTGAGCTCAAGGCCAGCCTGAAATGCATACTGAGGTCCTGCCTCAAAAAAGACCAAAAAAAAAAAAAAGGTTGGTGGGAAGACGAGAAACCAACCTAAACCCTGAGGAGCCCAAGTGTCCGGCCGTTGTGGGCAGCGGGAACGCGGGAGGGTGCGGGCGGCAGGACCCGCGGTGCGTGGCCGAGGGCCGACCTGAGCGGGCTGGGCAGCAGCGTGAGCGCGGGGTCCGCGAACACCGTGCTGGGGAGGGGCGACTCGGCTGCGCGTCCCTGACCGCTTGTCAGGGGCGGCTCGTGCTGCGGTGCCCAGAGCTGGCCCCAGAGGCTGCGAGGGAGACGGTCCAGCGGCGAGGTCCACGCAGGCGGCGTCTGCAGACCACACGAGCTGGGTGGCGTGTGCCCGAGTTCGAAGCGTGTGCGCCGCCCCTCCGCGAGCTGCTTCTTAGCACTGTGAGGTCACTTTCCTCCTCTGTGAGACGAGGGGATGAACGGTCTGCGCCTGTAATCGCAAGCCGTGAACTTGAATGGGTCATAAACACCTAGTGGATGAGTGAAGCACAGTTCTGCGTGTGTCTGCGCCTGCCGTGTGGGCCGGCAAACTGAGGCTCGAGGACGCGCCCGGGGTGGGTGGCCCCAATCAATAGGCTGGTGGCCCGGATGGAGAGTTGTGTGTTGTTTGTTGGTTTTGTTTGTTTGTTTGTTTGTTTGTTTCACACAGGGTCTCGCTATGCAGTTCAGGCTGGCCTTGAGCTCCCTTTGTAGCCCAGGCTGGCCTTGAACTCACAACGATCCTCCTGCCTCAGCCTCCCAAGTGTTGGGATAACAGTTGTGCGCCACCACCATGCCCAGCTTTAATTTATATTTTAAAAACTCCCATGTGGCTACTGTCATTCCCCAAGGAAGAGTGAAAATGGAAGAAATGGGTACAAAACCCCGTTCATTTGCCATATGCCTGCCTAGGTGCCAGGCAGTTGGACCTCACTGATATGCTACCACTAGCAGGTCTGGATATTCTTGCCACCTTTAAAGCACAGTAATGAGAAGGGTATCAGAGTAGACCACCCCCACTGTTATAAAAATAAGGTACAGCAGAACAGGGACAAAAATGGCAGGGAGAAGCACTCAGCATAAGTGTTGGCTATGGAGTAGTTGAATAATAAAATAGTTCTCCAGGAAATAAAACAATCCAAAATCATTTTAAGCTTCTAAAATCTTTTAGTGTAATTTGTTAAAGTCCACAGGAATAAAAACTATGTACTTATACCAAATAACCATTATGACTTTTATGAAATCTCATGTTTTTAAGCTAAGAAAAACTCCCTTTAGCTGTACATGAGTATTTTATGAGAAATGCATAGATGTCATTGACTTACCATTATTTTTTCTCATTTTAGATGTCCAGAAAGTGGATGACACAGCTGAGCCCAGACACGAGAGTTTGTGGCAAGTTGTTCTCAACCACCACCAACACATCAGCTGAGGAGAAAGTCGAATTAGGATTTGAGCTGAAAGTCCTTGAGTCAAATTTTGATCTGAGCTCACACCATACTTCAGATTTGGTTATAAATCCTGGGAACTATTCACCAGCGGAGTATCTTCCAATTGAGCCTGGTGAGATGGGTGCTGGAGAGAAGCTGAGTCAGTGTCGTACAACTGGGGAATCCCCAAGAGGTGCTGAGCATTTTGGTCAGCATTCCAAGATTCCAAGTGGACAGCAGGGTTTTCAGTCTAGTGGTCAATGGAAAGCCTTCATCACAGAGACAAAGTTATGGAAAGAATGTTTGACACATGAGAGGGTTCCTATGGGGCAGGCCTGCTGGGAGCGTAATGAATCTGGGAAAGCCTGTGAGAAGTCAGCTCTCAGTGCTACAGTAGGAAGAAAGACTCTTTATAAAAACTGTGATCTCACTACATGTCAGACACACACAGGGCAGAAATCCTGTGAATGTGGTGAATGTGAGAAAACCTTCATTACACAACAGAAGAAACATTCAGAGAATGGAGCCTGTGCATATGATCAATGTGAGAAATCCTCCCGCTGTAAGTCAGACATTACTGTGCAGCAGAATCTTCCTATTGAGGGAATGCCCTATGAATGTGATGAATGTGGAGAGGCCTTTCACACTAAATCAGGCCTCATGAGACATGAGGGCCTTCATACTTGGGGCAAGCTATATGAATGTAAAGAATGTGGGAAAACTTTGTGCCGTAAGTCATCTCTCACTATTCATGAGAAAATTCACAGTGGGGAGAAGCCCTATCAATGTACTAAATACAGAAAAGCCTTTCGCAAAAATCACAACTCAGGAGGCATTGTTGAAGAATTCACACAGAGGAGAAACCCAAAAAATGTAATGGTCTCACAGACAAGAAGATAACAACAGCCACTGCGCCAAGGGAAAGGATAAATCTCATCAAGAGAAGTGATAAAAGAGTGAGAAAGAGAAGTGAATCAAATCCTTGAAAAGCAACAAAATGACAGATATTAGTACATACTTTTTGATAACAACACTCAGTGTAAATTTTCTTAACTCCAATTAAAAGACACTGACTGCCAGGTTGGATAAAAAAAAACCAAGGCCCGTGTATATGTTACCAGCAAGAAATATACCTTATCTGCAGAGACATAGATTGAAAGTGGAAGGATGGAAAATAATACTCCAATGATCTGGAGCCCAAAAGCAAGCAGGAGAAGCTATACTTGTGTCTGAAAATGTAGACTTCAGACTAAAACTGGTCAGAAGAGACTAGAAGTCACTATGTTGGTAAAGGGTTCAATTCATGAAAAAGAGAGAACAATTAAACGAACAGTGCTTGATCTAAAAGGACAGATCAACCCCAGGACAGTTATAGAGTGGGATGTCAGCATGCTTGCAAACGAGAGGAAAAAATCAACAAAGAAGCTTTAGAATTAAACTACATTATAGACCAAAAGGATTCAGTGAATATCTACAGAGTATTCCATTAAACAGCAGAATACATATTTTCTACAGTCTATGGCTTTTTCTCCAGAATTGGCCATATTTTAGTCCATAAAGGAAATCCCAAAATGTAAAAGAAATGAAATAATCTTACGTATCTTATCAGATCACAATGGAATGAAACTAGAAATCAACAGCAAAAGAAACCACAGATACTGGAAACTACACTAACCAAGGGAGGTTGGGTAGTACCGTTTTGAATTATCAATGGGTCACTGAAGAAGTCAGAGGATAAGTTAGAAAACTTGCTAGAATGAAATAATAATGGAAAAATAACTTGTCAATCCATAGGATATAATGAAAGAGGTTCTAATAGGGGAATTTATAGCTATGACAAAGGTAGGTGGTGGCCCTGTTCATAAAGGCAGAAGTGTGGGCTGGATAAAAGGAGAAGCTTGCTTTTGTGCACACCTGGGAAAAGAAAGGAACACTTCTAAGGGACCTTGAGGCTAAAACTGCTATAGGTCAAAGAACATGGGAAGGAAAGTTTAGAAGGATGGTGTAGGACCAAATTTGTTTTGTTTCTTGTTCTCTGTTTTTGTCTTTTTGACACAGAGTCTCACTATGCAGTTCAGGGTGGCCTTGAGCTCACTTTGTAGCCCAGGCCAGTTTTGAACTTGCAAAGATCCTCCTGCCTCAGCCTCCCAAGTGCTGGGATTACAGGCATGCAGCACCACTCCCAGCTGCTCTGGCTTCTTTGAAGTTTGCTTAGGTGGCCTAACCCTTCCGGTGTCAGGGGCATGGGGTAACATAAGGGTCACGTTTGTTAGAGAAGGAGTGACAATAGCTATTTTGCTGTAGGTTACTGAAATGGCTCATTTTGAAGCAGAATATGTGGTTCTGTGTAAAGTCAAGTGAAGGCCAAAATGGCCTCTCCTTAATATTTTGGATTCAAGTCAGGGCTCATAAATATGGTGGGATAACCCATGTTTCTAGAAGGCAACTGTGAAGGACTGGGAAAGGGGCTCGATGTGGATATGAAACCAAGTTTGTGTTCTGGTTCAAGCCTCCACCTTCCTTTGTAAAAGGAGGACAATGATAGTACTTGCTTCAAAGGACTGGATTGTGAATTAATGAAAAAAAAATACCCTTTTTTGATTCTGGGGGTCAACCTCAGGGCTGCTCTACCACTGAGCTATGTCCCCATCCACCTTTAGTTTTTGTTTGCAGATAGGGTCTTGCTAAGTTGCCAGGACTGGTCTAGAATTTGTGATCCCTGTCTCAGCCTGTCAGAGAGCTGGGAGTACTGATCTATACCATCAGCTGGTGACTCTGTTCCACTGGATGACCACCGTTACAAGGAATGGCTGACTTAGCTTAAGGGTAGGAAGGCAGCTAGTGTTATAGGTAACTCTAGGTCGCTTACTTTCCAGTGTCCTTCAGATAACACGTATCCAGATATTCTGGACCCTGTCTGTTTACATTGGAAAGTTTTGGAAACATCAAAGGGTTGTTTCAGGGACTTGGTGCTAAATGTCCTCATCTTTTCTCAGGAATGATACACTGTACTTCCCATGTACTTGAAAACCCTTATAATTTTTTTTCATTTATTTTCACATTTTATGCTCACCATGTTAAGTGAAGTAGACACACAAGCTTAAATATCACGATTTCTTTTTTTTTTTTTTAATTTTGTTTTTCTCCGGTACCGGGAACCGAACTCACGACCTTGCGCTTGCCAGGCAGGCGCTTTGCCGCTGAGCTAAATCCCCAGCCCCTCACATGATTTCTTTTATGTGAGAAACTCAAAATATAAATAAGGAACAAAATAAAAGATAGACAATAGGAAGTAGGCAGAACTTATTCAAATAGCCAAGGGAACAAGAGTTGGAGGGAATAGGAATGGATGGAAGGAGAAAGGGATAAAAAAAGAATTAAGATGTGCTACATACATGTACCAACTCCCCCCACGATAAATGCAATCATGATATACTGCAAATATGTACTAATAAAAAAAGAAAATCTGGATACACCCAAAAATAAGAAAAAAAAGTCCATGAGAAACCAATGAAGAAAAGTTCAGGTTTGCCTCACAGAACAACAACAAAAGAAGACAAAGGGCCCCCAGGATTTCTTGTGTAGAAGGATGAATTGAACTGGGATTCTGAGCAAATATCAGACACTGGGGTGTGACTTTGCACAGGGATTACAGAGCGCACCTCCTTATGACCCTGCTGTTTTATTCCAGTACATACAGCAGCACAGCATTTCCACCTGGTTAGTACCATCCCCTCACATCCACCATGAACAAACATTTTTTTTTCTGTTACTGGGGATTGAACAATGGTCCTGGCACATGCTGGCAAGAACTGTGTCACTGAGATGCATCCCTAGCTCTTTTATTCTTTATTTTTTTGAGACAGGGTTGTGCTAAATTACTCAGGCTGGTCTCAATTTGCTACCTCCTGCTCAGCCTCCTCAGTAGCTGGAATTACACGTTGAGTGTCAACCTCTCCCCATCTAGATCAAAAGCCTTTTAAATGGGATTGAAGGGAGTTAGCCTATGGACTTCTTGTTGGTTAGGATGTTTAAAGTAACCCAGAGACATGATTTTTCATGCTGTAGAATGATTTTATAATAGCAATGTTTAAATAAAAATATCTATTCATACCAAATTGTGCTGGGTTTTCTAAACATAATTCATTGAACAGAATTCCATTAAGGTGTGGTGAGGCACACTTACAATCCCAGCTCCAGGAACATTCAAAGTTTGAGGCTAGCCTGGGCAATTTGACAAGACTCAATCCATCAATCAACTTTTTAAAAAAAGCTGAGATGTGCTTGGTGGTAGAGTATTCGCCGGATATGGGAAGTCCTAGGTAGATCCGAGTTTTGCAAAAAACTATCTCTTTCCACATACTATGTTTAGTGCCACGAGGAGGGAGCATATGGAAGGCAGCTACCTCAGGAGTTTACCAACAGTCAAGTAGTATAGCAAAGTTAAGAGTTTATTGATACACTGCAAAAGAGCACTGGGTGAGTTCCAAGAGAGGACAGCACAGGCTGGGAAGCAGCAGAACTTTATATTTTATTTCAGTGTGAGGAGGGGTCTGGGAATGTCATCCTAAGAATACTTTGATCAGGTCATGGTGGTCCCGCGGTCCACCCCTCAGATGTAGACATAGCCAAGCGTTGTTTGAAGAGTGCCATTCTTTGACAGAGTCCAGAATCTGTACAGTTGCTAGAAACAATCCCTCCAGGCAAAAGTAATAAGTGTGTAGGATTAGCTGGGGTCAGTGGCCAAGGGAGTCCGGATAAAGAATATATGTCTGCATTTGAAAGAAACTTCAAATTCTACTGAGCTGGGGGTAGAATTTATGTCCTTCAAGACATGTCAAGAGGTTAGAACTTCTAACGTTTGCGTACGGAGCGTGCACGCTGAAAAGCTACTGGTATACTACAGACTCATCATTCAGCTTCAATACGGCCTTAAAGGACATAACATAAAATAACCATGGCTCCCCAATAGTTAGGGACCAGTTTTAAAACATCAGATCCTGCTCTTCTTGTCAGAGAAACGTCACATTCTTTGTTCTGGCCCGACCGCGCAGAGGGTTGTGGGAAATGTAGTCTAATCCCCAACAACGACGTCTCTCAGGAACAGGAAATAACTTTGCGGCTCTCTTTTACGCACGCGTAGTCCCGCCTTACGCCATTTTCTCCCGGAAGTTCCTGGCCCTGCCCCGCCCAGTAGCTCCTCGGCCCTCTGAGGTGCTTCGGTCTCCGTCCCCGGAGGGTGGTAGGAGGACGGAAGAGCAGCCCTGATCCTGGGGAACGGGACAGGTATCCCGCTCTTGGCGGTAGCGAGGTCGCGGGCGGGTCTGGGCTGCAGGTCCTGAGCGGGTCTGGGAGGCGACGTGCAGGCCGGGTCCGGAGTCCCAGGCGTGGGAAGGAGCGACCCTGCCGTGCTTTGCCGACCGCAGGGTCCGGGGGTCAGAGGCCGGGCGTGTGGCGCCAGGTGTCCAGAGCGTGGCCCTGGAAGCTCTGAAGGAGGTGGTCGAGTGGTGGCGGGGCGCGGTGTGCGGACCCCGCGAGCTGGGCGGGGCGCGGGGTGGGATGTACAGTCCTTAGCAGTGTGACGTCAGTTTACCCATCTGTGATAACAGTCCTGGTGGAGTGCCCTCCAGCTCCAGGAGAAATGAGAGTGTGCGGACCGGGTCTTTCCGTGTGGCGGCTGTTTGTGGGCATCTTAGTGTCTCTGCAGCAGGCGGAGTTTCTGGTCACTTAGCGCGCTGGGTAACCTGACGGGCATCGTGCTTTAAGCTTACCGAAAATTTTCAGCAGTCTGCGGGGGAGACCGGGATGCGGGATGACAGACCCATTTGATTTAGAAAAATGTAAGGTGCTCCAGAGTTCGGAATCCCACCTGAGAGAACGGTGTGGCCTCACCCCTCTCAGTGGCACTTCAGAGAAGAGGCGCAGTGGCTCAGACGAAGTTCCTAGCTTCGCCTGAACTAGGCAATCACTGATCCTGTTGTCTAGAGGAAAGAACATAGGGGTGACTGCCACCTTCTCCAGAAACAGGAGCCGGGTGCTACTGTGGGGGTTAAACTAACTTTCCAGAGGAAGATGTAAGCTGGGCTGAGTAGGTAGGCAAGGACTTGGCGAATGTTTCTTAAAGGAGAGGTCTTCGTTAAGGTCCTATCCTTAAGGGAAGGATACCCTGTGACCCGTTTCCAGAGTGTGACCTTTCTGAAATTTATTTATTTATTTATTTTCCTGTACCGGGAATCGAACTCACGACCTTGAGCTTGCCGGGCAGGCGCTGTGCCGCTGAGCTAAATCCCCAGCCACTACCTTTCTCAAATTTAGACTATCAACAGATTTGATATCTGACAGTGTAACCTTTGTCCTGTTAGCTCTCATAGTTCAGGAAGGATTGGCCAATACTTTTCTTAAAAAGTGTTTCTGCTTTTTAAGAAAGATGAAAAAAATTGGTGTCACACAGATAAATGAGTTGTCCAGGGTCACCAGATATGTAAATGTCAGGCACATCTTGACTTTGGGCTAATGTTATCTACTTTGCACATTTAAAAGAAGTGTTTTCTTAATTTTGAGATGATTTGGATGAGACTGAGGTCAGCTTAGTAGGAACATTCAGATGTAGCCCTTTTTAAAAAATTTTTATTTTGGTCTTTTTGAGACAGGCATGTTGTGCAGTTCAGGCTGGCCTTGAGCTCACTTTGTAGTGCAGGCTTGTCTCGAACTTGCACTGATCTTCCTGCCTCAGCCTCCCTACTGCTGGGATTACAGATGTGCGCCACCACAGCCTGCCTTGTTTTGTTTTTTGAGAGCGGGTTTTGCTATGTAGTTCAGGCTGGCCTTGAACTCATTATGTAGCTCAGGCTGGCAGTGAATTTGCAGCAGTCCTCCTGCCTCAGCTTCCTGGATGCTGGGATTACACATGTAGATCACCAGACCTGGCTATTACTGTGTTTTTTGTAGTTCTGAGGTTCAAACCCTGTGTGTAACACCTGATAGGCAAGTGTTACGCCAAGTGTTACATCCTCCGACCCTAGAATGTTGTTTAAAAACTGTTTTATTGTTTATCTTTTTTCTCTTTAAAATAAAAAAAAATACTTGTCCCAAACATACCTATCCCTTGTTATTCCCAGTGTTTTCTGTACATTACGTGACTGAAAGGGTGAATTTCAGATGTGTTTCCCACTTAATGTCAGTAATCTGTTCCTAAAAATCATATATTCTGTAGGAAAATAGAAGCAGCCTATTTTACATTATTTGAAAAGGGAAAATTAGACTGTATCACACTTCAGCTTCAAACCAATAAAATGTAAAAACAATTCAATGTTCATATCTATGTAACAGCCTGTTTTTCTGATGTAAAAGCTTTGTCCTTCTGATCTCCAGACACTGCTTTGTTTGAATCATTAAGCTTAAGCCATACTGCAGTCCACCCTTTGGGTGTTTATTTTTTCCAATGCCTTAAAAGGTTTTTTAAAAATTGTATTTGGTTGTTTGAAGACTTTCCCCCTACTTCCCAAGATATTAAAACATTGAATTCTAAGTCCTTTGAGATAACAGCCTTTGCTGTATAATAAATCAACAATAATTTGAGGAAACCATTCAAAAGAAGAGACCATTTCATTTGATCACCTTCCTCTGGTGAACATGTAAACTGGAGTCAGCTGGAAGATCCTTTGCTGGTGATCCCTGGGGTCACAGATGAGCCTTCATTCACCTCATCCTTGAGTGAGGTTGGCTGTTTCCAGGTGACTTCATTCCCTCTAGAGCTTGTGCTTGCCCTTAGGAATGCCCCTGTGTATGGAGCGCGGTGGCCGCGGGCTTTCTCATAATGTGTGTCCAGGAAGACAAGCACCAGTGAGCCAGTTCTTTTCAAGCTTAGGTTTGCATCAGGTTTAGCGATGTCCTCTTGGCCAAATCAAAGTCAGTGGCAAAGCCCAGGGTTTCATCCTTGGGAACTGTTAAGAGGGTGTGGGTACATGGAGGTGCCTCATGGGGAACCAATACTGGAACAGAGCTTCACAAAGATGTACATTGAATACATTGTTTCCCTGCATGAGCAGAGACAAAACATGTTGAGTTGCACATGCATTTTTTGCAGGAAACTGGGTATATATGGAAGCCAGAGATGTTATAGTAGAAATGCTCGTGTGGGCTCTGCAGGATATTAATAGAAGAGTTCCCATAGTCCATGGGCATTCCTTTGACGTTAATGTTAATGAAGTCTGATCTTGCTCTGGTTTAAATTATTATTTCTTTAGGGAACATTTATTGTTGGTAAATCAGTTGATAATGTATATTTTTATTAACCCAGTAATCAATTTTATATCTAATCTCTCTACCAGTGACTGAATTTGTGGGTATGCCTTCAATGACTTCTTCCCTCTCCTTTATTTTTTTTGAGACCAGGTCTCTTGATAGTCCAGGGTGTTTCCCTATGTAGCCCAGCCTGGCCTTGACCTTGTGATATTCTTGCCTCTGCCTTTCACATAGGTGGGAATACAGAACTGTGCCACCTTGCCTCCCTTTTGTTAGCCTTTCTGGGGAAGGGATTATACACCCAGAGAGTTTGTTTATTTATTTATTTTACCTTTTCCAGCTAATAAGTGAAGTATTTTGAGGAGGAGGATAATCTAGGTCCACGCCTGCCTCGCACAACTGTCTTACATTTGACTTCTCTCAGCTATGCCTCCAGAGTCCTCTGTGTGTTTCAAAGAGCGACAAAAAATGAATAAATCTCCGGTGAGTTCTTTATTCCTCACTTTGTTTTGCATTGTGTTTTTTACCAGCTCTCTGAGGTCCAATACTTGAAATGAACTTGAAGAATGTGTAAAAGCTCAGCTTTATGGAAATGGACACAAATAAGACAGAATTAGCATAGATAAAGACTTCAAAAACGTCTGCTTTTTAAATTTTTTTCTTTTTCATTGAATAAAACGTGCAATAATATATACACAACCATGAATTTTTACATAAGTTCACAAAACTTCAGGTTGATCAAGGTAGAATGGTTGCCAGCACTCAAGGAGCTTCCTTGTAGCGTATAGATCTTATTTTTGTGCAGAACAAAACAAAATTGAATTTTATCTGCAGTATTTCCTCTATTTCAGTTTGAGAATAGAAATTTAACAAAAGCAAGGGTTTAGAGCCTGGGTATCCATGGCTTGAGGGGGCTGTATTGAACTCTTTGTTGAGTACAGTTTAGCTTTGGTGTTTCTGATGCCATGGAAAAAGTCAGCACATTTGTTTTATGATTCAGATGGAGCCTGAGAAGAGAGCATGGTGACTTGTCATGGCACGTAATTGCTACATCCAGAGCTAAAACATTATCTTCAGTGGTTACATAGAGGATATAGTAGAATGCTTTTCGTCACTATCTTGGAATTAAACTCTTATAGGATTCCTCAGTGTAAACAGTTCCCTGGTGCTAAAGGAAAACTCTTAATCAGGTTGTTCTGGAGTTGCTGAAATGCTGTGTGTCCAGGCAGCTTTTGCAGGGTGGTAGATGATTGTGGATGAGAGCTCGGGCGCCTGCAGGGTTGAGCTGACCGTGGGTCATTTGGGAACTGACTGTACCTGGGCCCCAGCGTGTGTACACATGCAGGGTGTGCAGCAGACTGGTCAGAGTGGTGTTCCCTGGCAGATGTCCCCACTGCTTATTTGCTTTTTAACCCGATTAGTGTTGTCTTAGTTCACTTTTTATAAGTTCATTAATAACATACATTTTAGTTAAGTCCAAAATTAATTGCCCTATTTTTATCTACTGTCCATGATCTCCTGTGAATTATTTGCCAGCAACTATCACAGCTTTACTTGGTGATATTTTCTGTTTCTTTGAATTCTTTTGCGTTTTTCTGTTCATTCACATAGCTCCTCCAACTTCTCCACATCCTGGATCTTATTCTTTGTACTCTGCATTTCTCCTTGGTAGATTTAGCTCTCTGGGGCTTGCTTGCCTCTTTTCTCCAGGTCAGACTTGTTCCCTTACTTTTAGAGCAGAACTCTAGGTCTCAGTTCTTAACTCCTTGTTAGACCATCTCTTCATCCAAAAGGCACCTCAAGCTCAACAAATCCAAAAGTACAACTTTCTTCCTTTATATACTGTATCACACTTCCTTGGCAGTGGCCCAACCCTATAAAATGAAATTTTTTCCCATGACTCCTCTCTCTCCCTCAGACCTGATTTCATCTGGTGTGATCTTCTGCATCTTTTAAATACGAATTTATTTTATTCACATATTTGCAGACAGGCCAATCTAGAAGGAAAGCCAATTAGGCTTGTGGGTTGATGCAGCAACTTTGGAAATGTCAATTCTTGCAGAACCTGAAAGGCATGTTTGCCCAGTGATAAGGTTCAATCCCTTGGGAATTGTGCTGATATACAGCCCATGTGGCTTATAAACTCAGATATGTAAATCCCTGAAGATTCAGGATCTAGTGAGAGATCGCTTCTCGGCCTTTTGGCTAAGATTAAGTGTAGGATCTAGTGGGAAAAAGCATGCAGGGGTCAGTGGGACACATTTGAATGACAGTTAATAAAAGATATGCACAAAATAAATTGAAATACAAATTTTCAAAATTTGCACCTTTTTTATGTCATGATTCTGTATGTAGGTTGCCCTTTGCCCGTACTGGGGATTGAACGCAGGGCCTTGCACATGCTAGGAATCACTTTATAAGGGAGGTAACATATCTAGTCCTTGCTTTTTGTTCTTTTTTCATTCTTTTCTTTCTTTTCCTTCTCTTCTTGTTGAGCTACATTCCCAGATTTTTATTTCTTATTTTGAGACTGATTCTCAATAAGTCTCTATGTTGCCTGGGCTGGGCTTGAACTTGTGGTCCTTTTGTCTCAGCCTCCCAGAGTGCTGGGATTACAGTTGTAACTTTTAAAAAAATTTGTTGCAGACTCTTTTCAGTTTTCTATTTTGTCTTTCTGAAATGCTCCTTGATATGCATCGAATTTGGCAGCATGACTACAAATGCATATAATGTCTTTTCAAGTTGAAATCTTTGAAACTGACATGGTTTCCTTCTAAATGAAGCAGAATATCTTACTTGTTTCAACATGAAAATACATCTATTTTTCACTGAATACTCCTGTTTTTTATTTTTTGAGAGGTCCTGTTTTCTTTTGAAATGATCTTGAAGCCATGCTATGATATTAAAAAACTAAGAAATAATCACTGTTCATTTTTCTAGTATTGATGATATTGCATAGGTAATTATAAACATAACTTAAGCAAAAAACTATTTGGTACATTTTGTACTTCATATACCATGATAGCTAAAAAAACCAAAGTTATTTCATGGAATAACAAACCCAGGTCTAATAACTGAATAAGGAAACTTCCATGTCTGCTTAATAACAGTGTATTTGTATCAGCACAGGCCCACATGGGTGAAGGTGATTAAAGACCACTATTGGCAATTGCTGCATTTTACCTGCTGCATTGCACAATGCATATGACATCTGACACATGGGGTTTGGGCACAGGTTTTGATTCTACTGACTGTGGCAGGTGAAGGAGGCAGAGTTAGCAATGCACTGTGTGCTCTCCTACACAGTGTTCCATTGTCATCTGTGTGGTCTGTTTTTGAGCACAGCACAATCAAATAAAAAAAAAAAAAAAACATAAACCTTAGATAAAATGTTGAGTTTACCATCTGCAGGGCCACCTTATTAGCTGTCCCGGGCCACATGTAGCCCACAGGCAGGTTGGACACATCTGCTTATCTCATGAGCCACTGGGGATGTTCCATATCCAAACTGAAACTTTCACGATCTTTACATGCAGAACTGAAGGCTTCAATGGTGTTTTGTTGTTTTAGTTGTTTTGTTTTTTCATACAGGGTCTTGTTATATAGTTCAGACTGGCCTTGAACTCACTATGTACCCAGGGTGTTGGGATTATATGTGTACTCCACCACAACTGGCAGAATGGTATTAAAATAGCAAATCAAAATTGCTCTCCATTGAATCAAGAATATGATTGACTGTGTTAGTAGAGCTCTGTATTGAAGTTTCCTTTGTGGAATTCCTTCTCAGTTTTTGTACTCTTATTTCTTGTTCTCTGTCAATAAATTCTAGTTTCTTCAGATATTTTTTCTTTTCTCCTTTACTCTCTTAGTTTCTCTTCAAGTCATTTCACTCATTCTGATGACTTCAGGCAGTCCTAAAATTGTTAGCTTACACTTTTTTTATCTTTAGTTTGCATCTCTCCTTAATTTTAGTATCATATATATATAATTGGCAGTTGGACATCCAATATTTGGTACCTGAGAGTCTCCAAATACAGCGATCAAGTCTTTGTCACGTGGTCATCATAGTGTTCTTCTGTTTTTCAAACTCTACTTTATAATCCCAGTATATAACTAGCTGCAGTCATGCAGGCAGCCTGGAAGGAAAATGTCCCTTTTTATCTTCTCCTCAAGAAGTCAGTAGCAAATTCTGTTCTTGATTTTCCTTCTAAATATTGTTTGTTGTAGAGTTACTTTCCTCTGTGTACTTTTACTTATCTGTGTCCTGATAGAGGTCATCATATCTTACTCTGGTTCCTTCCCCTCTGATGCTCCTATAAACCTTCCAGACTCCCTTGTAGGAGCTGACCGTTGAAATGCCAAGGTGCTTAGTTAACCTGTCTCTTCTCTGAGGACCTTATTATTTACACCACCATTTGGGGAGTGTCAGTACTCACCAAGAGTAAACATGGGGAGTCATGTGGCATGTGGGAAGGAAATAGTGGGATGCTCTGTGCATGGTTTCAACTTAAATGTAATTAAAAATCAGTAGCTGCTTAAACTGTTTTCTATTGGAATATATTCAAATATAAATGCAGAATCACACAGTCCATAATGAGTTCCTTCAGTATTGTGTTTATCTCCCATCACAGACTAGGTTCATTTACCCAGATACAATACTATGGTGGTTCCATTAATGTGGCTGTCTTCATGCTGTGCTGGTGACCAGACTAATGCTGTTGCCCAGTAGGCATGAGAAATCCTGGTTCACAGAGGGAAGAGCTTAACATCTTTGGGTTTTCAGTGAAGTACAAGCTTATAATACAAAACAACTATGGTTTCTCCTTTTGGTTAATTTGCATTGAAGTTATAGCTAAATAAGTTTGTGTAACAATAATTGTGGGCATGTATTCATACTTATTTCTTCTTCATACCAGATCATAAGCTCCTTGAAGAAGCAAAATTTTATTCATATTTTAATCCCTAGCAAAAAAGGATGGTTTTAGATTTATAAGGTAAACTTTGTAATAGTATTTTTAGTAATTAAGAAATAAATATATTACACAATAGTTCTCTGACTTTCCTTTCTCCCACAGTGTGAGATACACAGCAAGCTTCATGCATTATAAACACCTCTCTCCACTCCCACTAATGTCAGAACTTCACTTTCTTCTTGTGACAGAGCTGATGAGTGAGAGATGTTCTGTTACAGGTGTTGGTGTCATTTGAGGATGTGGTTGTGGACTTCACCTGTGAGGAATGGCAGGACCTGGATGATGCTCAGAGGACCCTGTACAGGGATGTGATGCTGGAGACCTACCGCAGCCTAGAGTTATTGGGTGAGTGAAATCCCTGTCACTCTCAGGAACAAGTGTCTTATTAAATATGTAAACACTGGTAAGAGTCAGTGCTATTGGGTATAGGCTTCTAGTTCATGAAGAACGTGATTATTCCCCTCTCTGTAATGAAGGGTTCACCTTGGCACTGTTACTGAACAGTGCTTCAAGCTGGACTGTTTATATTCTGCACAGAACATGATATAGCACTTTGTCAAATATATTATTTCCCATTAACAGGCCATTGCATCACTAAACCTGCAGTGATCTTTAAACTGGAGCAAGGAGCAGAGCCATGGATGGGAGAAGAATCTCCAAATTTAAGCCCCCCAGGTCAGTCCCTGCTTTCTGCGCTAGGGGGCTGGGAGGAAGGGAGCTGAGCAGGTATTGGCTGTGTTCAGTTGTTGGTCACTTTTTCCCCAGATCACAGGCCTGAGGATAGCTGGTTTGCGTCCATCAGACATGTGCATTACATAGTTTTCAAGGAGGGCATTTGCATGTATACACCTACCTTTTAATTTGTTAAATAGATCCTTACATTTTCCCCAAGTCTCATCCCATTATAGAAATGAAGAAAAGCAGTTTAACACTAGAAAATCTATTAATGCAGTCTATTACATTATTTATGAAGAAAATTCATATATTATAAGTCAGTATCGATTATAACTTCATAAAACCTTATCCCATAAAGATAGAATCTCTTTATTTTACCATGAGCATTGCAGAGAAAATGCTTAGATGTTATTGATGTATATGGTTTTTATCATTTTAGATGTCCAGAAAGCAGATGACATAATTGAGACCAGCCACCAAAGTGGAGATAGACATATGTGGCAAGTTGTAATCACCACCAAGAACACATCATCTGAAAACCAAGTTGAATTAAGAAATACTTTTAATTTGAGCTCTAGTCATATTTCAGATTTGATTATAAATAATGCAAACTATTCAGTATTGAAACCTGAAGAAAATGTTTGTCAGAACACACATAGCCCCAGTGAGCCTGGTGAGATGGATACTGGAGAGAAATCTCATTTGTGTACTATAACTGGAAAATCCCTGAGGTATCCTGAGCATTTTGGTCAGCATCCCAAAAATCCAGCCAGGCGACAGAATTTTCAATCTAGTGGACAATGGAAAGCCTTCACCAACGAGGCAACATTATTGAAAGAATGCATTACATATAAGAGGGTTCCTGTGGGGCAGGCCTGCTGGGAGCATAATGAATCTGGGAAAGCCTGTGAGAAGTCCGCTGTCATTGCTAAGGTAGGGAGGAAAACTCTTTATAAAAACTGTGATCTCATTACACATCAGACACACATGGAGGAGAAATGCTGTGAATGTGGGGAGTGTCAGAAAAACTTCATTACTAAATTAGACCTTCTAATACATCAGAAGAAACATTCAGCAAAAAAACCTTATGCATGTAACCAGTGTGAAAAATCCTTCAGCTACAAGTCAGACCTTATTGTGCATGAGAGAATTCATACAGGGGAGAAGCCATATGCTTGCAATAAGTGTGGCAAAACCTTCAGCCGTAAGTCAACTCTCACTATCCATGAGGTAATTCACACTGGGAAGAAGCCCTATGAATGTCATGAGTGTGGAAAGACATTTCACCAGAAGTCAAACCTTACCAGTCACCTGAGAACTCACACAGGAGAAAAGCCCTATGAATGTAACGAATGTGGAAAAGCATTTGGCCAGAAGTCAAACCTCAGAACACATCAGTGTATTCACACAGGGGAGAAACCATATGAATGTAAAGAATGTACTAGAAGTTTCTACCATAAACCAGCACTCACTATACATGAGCGAACTCATACCGGTGAGAAGCCCTATGAATGTAATGAATGTGGTAAAACCTTTTGCCAAAAGTCTTACATCAGGAAGCATCAGAGAACTCATACTGGGGAGAAACCCTATGAGTGTAATGATTGTGGAAAAACATTTGGCCAGAAATCATATCTCAGTAAACATGAGATAATCCATACTGGGAGAAAACCCTATGAATGTAACCAGTGTGGAATAACCTTTTCCCAGAAATCAAACCTCAGTAGGCATCAGAGAACTCACACAGGAGAAAAGCCTTTTGAGTGTAATGAGTGTGGAAAAACCTTTGGCCAGAAGTCAAGTCTCACAGTCCATCAGGGATCGCACAAAGGGCAGAAACCATATGAACGACAATATAGGAGAAGCTTCTTCCATTAAGCATAGTGCACAAGAAAAATCACACTGGGTAGAAAGCATATGAGTGTAATCAATGTGGAGAGAACTTTGAGCAGAATTAAAGGTCATTAAACAAAAGATAACTATACTTGGGAGAAGCCCTACGAAAGAGGAAAAACCTTTTAACATCATAGTAGGCATTACAAAGCTTATATGGGAGACAGCTATGAACATGGCATTACTTCCTCAAAAATCACATTTCAGTGTGTAATGGCAAAGTCTTCATTGCAGAGACTGGGTTATGTCTCCTAAAACCATTTTATTCTGTCTGTAATGCAGTCTTCATTTCTGGCTTTAACTTGTTGTGGCCATCACTGGTTTGGGGCTGTTCTTGGAGAGTACAGACAGGCATGAGCATTATGTCCAGGCCTGGCAACATAAAAGACAGTGACCATGTGCTCCTCTAATTTCTCATGTCTTTAGAACTGAAGTGCAGGTGACTCGGCAGATAAATAAGAAAAGATCACTGTGGGTTAAGACAAATGAAGAGAACAAGATCTTTCCAGCTGTATCCTTGTACCCTTAATTTTTTTTATGAAAGGGAGAAGTAAATCTCTATTCTGCTGTTCCATTTTCTGTGTGATCTGTTTGCATTGTGCCACCAGTAGCCCAGTTCTTTTATCAGAAAATGTATACAGAGGAAACCTCAGTGTTGTCATTTTTCAACCACAAGTCAGTTTTTGGAAGAATTTTTTCAAAAATGTAGAGATATAAAGAGTGGAACGAATTTGGGAATGCCTTTATCAGGTAGTGATATCCCTTGAGAGAATAAATTAAATTTATATTCTCAATATGTGAAGGCTTTTGGGGCTGGGGATTTAGCTCAGCGGCAAAAGCACTTGCCTGGCAAGCACAAGGTCTTGAGTTCGGTTCCTGGTACCGGAGAAAAACCAAAAAATAAATAAATAAATAAAATTTTAAAAATATTGAAGGCTTTTAATAAAATGTGCAATTTTTGTGTATCAGAATTCGCAGTGAAGGAAAAAGAATGCCAATTTTGTCTAATGGAGATTTAGGTTTTAAAATACAAATATTAAATATTGTACCAAAGATAGAGAATATGTCATTATAGCCCAATGAAATATGAGTGGTGATACTACCTACCAGTGTACATTTCACTACTTCTAGAGGATTTTTTTTTTTTTTAATCATAATGGTGGTTGGGAGATGCTACCTTCATCTGTGGGAAGAGGCCTGGAGTGCAGCTACATAGCCTGCAGATCATGGAACAGCCTCCTCAACAATACTTGGTTTATGCATAAGAGTAATTCATGTTAGAAATTTTCCTTATTGGGATCTAGAGTTAGGGGTGGTAGTTCATATACTGTTAGGTCACACTGTGACTTAAATTAGCACAGTCAGTTTTTTGGTTGCTGTGGCAAAATATGTTGTGCTGCAAAGTTTATACAATAAAGCTTTAATCTGCACATAGTTTTAGAGGCTGAAAGTCTGAGATAAGGTGGCCCCATCATTTCAGCATTTGTCGACAGCCCCATTAACTGTGTCAGTACGTTGAAGAAGGTGGAAAGCAGCCATATACTAAAGAGCCACACATGTAGTGCAATACTGCTTTATAACAATCCATATAGAAAGGAACTAACTGCAAGAACAGTATTAATCCTTTAAGTGCCCCCACTTCAGTGACCCCATTATACCTCATCTGCCAGGCCCCATATTTTAAAGGATCACCTATCTCAGCACCACACTGAAAAGCAAGCCTCCACACAGCACACAAACCTTTGATAAATCTTACCCAAACAATAGTAGTTAGGATTATTTCACATAAAGTCATTCTAGCTTCTTTGTATCTTAGTATAGTGATGAAAAAGTATTCTACATACTTTCTTAACTCTTTGTGTATATAAATTTATTATCAAACTTAAGTAACAATTTTTCCCCCTAAATTCAGCAATAAGCATAGAATAACCCAGTGTTTAAAAGGAAACCTGTTTTCATAAAAGTGCACAAATCAGGCACATATTTGTTTTTTTGTTTTGTTTTTCTCCGGTACTGGGAAAGGCACATATTTGTTAATAGGTGAAGTTTGAATTAGCTTGAACAGCTGTGATCCGTGGCACTGGTTTGGTTTGGTTTTGTTTTGTACTGGAAATCAAACTCGGGACCTTGCACTTGCCAGGCAGGCACTTATGCCACTGAGCTATATCCCCAGCCTAATGATACTGTTTTATTCTCTTCAATGGAAAGCAATCTCTAGATGCAAACTCTTCCCTTCATTCTTACTGTATCTTGAAATGAGGTAACAGCAAGGTATGAGTGTGTATGTGTATCAAGTGCTGCAGAAGTGAGCAATCACTGTTTGCATTTTCAGTGATGGAGTGCTATGTGCATGCACAGTAGTAGGGGCAATACTGTAAGTCCTGACTCCAGCACTTATGTGTGTGACTTCACCTTAAGCACTCTGGGCTTCTGTTTTTTCATGTTTAAAAAAAAGAATAATAGAACCTGTCTCAAAGGATCAGTATGTGGAGTAAATTAGTTGAATAACATTTTCTAAAAACTATTTCCTGGCACTTGAAAAATAGCATATAATCTAGCCATGTTGGTGATAGTGATTATTGTAATCTCAAAAATGATGTATTGGCTGTAGGCTCTCAAACTCTTGTTTTCCTACACAATAGCTATTTTCCCCTTTTTAACTGTCTTGATTTGGTTTTGTTATGTACTTATACATAGTTATGTAAGGATTTATCTTGGTTGAGCTTTTTATGATTAGCTGACTATTTCCTTTAGTAGTTGTTTTAGGGTGAACATATGTCTCAGCTCTGCTCAGGGGTCTGGATGCGAGGTCTGTGGCATGTCAGGGAAAGTTCTCACAAAGGAAACAGACATGGAACAAACAGTTCTTAGACTGAAAGACATTACTGTGTGATAACACAACCTATGGTCACATGTACCCCTCAGATGGTGGGCCCGAGAGTGGCAGGGCAGAACACTCTAGAACCTGTATGAATGATGATGTCAAGGACAACTGAAGTAGCCAACCCAAAAATTTCTGTGCTTTGGTATATTTGTGTGGGTCATTGGGTTTCTACTGTTGTGCAAAAAATAGCCACCAGTGTATTAACTCAAGAGAACAAACATTTTCTGGTGATCATGATTCTTAAGATGGCTAAGCTAGGTCCTCTGCTCAGAATCTCAGCAGGCTGCAATCAAGATGTCAGCCACACTGCATTTTTATCTGGAATCAGTGGGGAACACTTTTCACACACCTTCAGGTTTTGAGAGAACCTGTTTCCTCAAGGACTGAGAGCCTGGATTCTTAATGGTTGTTCACTGCTGGCTGCATTGTTCCTTCTCTCTTGGTAGAACCATCAGACTGCATGCTTCTTCATGATCGGTGGAATAGGGTTCCACTCTGGTATGCAAGGATAGTCTTAAATAACTATGTAATCATGGGTGTTACATACCTACACATTTTCTATTAGTCAGTTTTTTTTTCTGACTGAGACAAAATCCCTCACACCCACAGCTTAAGGGACACAAAACTGGACACCCAGAACTTGAAGGAGAGGTTTATTTTGGCTCACAGTTTGAGTGGATTCAGCTCATGGTCAGCAGGTGCCAAGACAGAAACAGCATGGCAAGACAGCACAGTGGAGGAAAGCTGTTCATTTTACGGTGGCCAGAAAGTACAGCAGGGAAGTGCTGGGGACTAGAATACACTGAAGTCATGCCCCCAGTGACCTCCCCTTTCCATCCAGACCCTACCTCCAAATGTGAACCTTTTTGGTGACATTTAATATCTAACTGTAACTTTCTACCTCTGGCCCCCAAAAGGATCATGTCCAAATTATTAGGCAGAATTTTTTAGTCCATTTCTAGGAATCACCAAAGTCTTAATTGGAGCATTGCTAAAAAGTTCAAGTCCAAAGTCTCTGAGACTCAAGGCAGACTCTTAGCTGTGAGCCCCTGTAAAAATAAAAAATAAAGTTAAACACTTGCAAAATACAGTATTATAGGGCAAATATTCCCATTCCAAAAGAGAGGAATAAGGGAATAGATAGAAATCAGACCAAAGCAAGATTGAAGCCCAGCAAGGCAGACATTAAATCTTACACCTGAAGTCTAGCACCCAGGGCAGGTTATGCTGAGATACGAGCTCCAAAGGGCTTGAGCAGCCCCACTCTTACATCCTTGCTGGTTGCATCCACCTGGCTTCTCTTGGGATTGCTCAACCCACTTCCTGTAAATTTCCTCAGCAGATGTTCAATGTTCTTAGCGTCTCCAACTTCCTGGGGTCTCCACTGTACTTTTGGCTTGACTCTCACAGCTTGTTGCACTGCCCTATCCTGGGTTTCTGGCAGAAATTGTGACCTTGTTACATTGTTTACCTGGCCTCCCAGGCAAGTCTGTGTGGAAGCCTCTGTGACCCCATAACTCTTGCATTCAGGATGCCTGAAAAAAACCAGCCTTACATGGATGATACCAAGGTTAGCTGTCAGCTTGAACATTATTGGGGCCCCTGTGGACCATGGCTGCAGCAGCCTCTGAATGCCTGGATGGCTGACTTGAGGATACCCACCCGTAAGTGGCCCTGAATGAGCAGGAATCTCAGGAATTCTCAAATGAAATTTTAGTTTTGCATCCTTGAGCCTGCAATGGGTGGGGTCTTGCTGAAATGAGATGCCTTCAAGGTATCTTTTCTATTGTCCTGATGCAAAGTACTTGGGTTCTCTTTAATGCTAATCTTTCAAGACACCCCACTTTCCTTTGCCCTAGCTTCATAGGTGCATCCCATCTGGCCATACTTCACATCATTCAGCTCTAATTTTTGCTCCTGATTCTCAGTGTAGATCTGACTAAATGCAGCCAGCAGCACCCATGCCACAACTTGAATATTAGACTGCCTTGAAATTTCCTTCACCAAATTAATCTACCATCTTTAAATTCAGCCTCACACAACATCTTAGGACATGAATAAAAATGTAGACAAATTCTTTGCCAGAATGGAACACATATGGCATGTAGTCCAGTTTCTGACAGAATTCTCTTTCCTGAGACCCTGTCTCAAAAAGCAAAATAAAAAAAAATTAATATTTCTTCACCTTATATTCTTCATTCTCTCACATGAAGCAATGAAGTCATTCTAATGTGAATATTTTTTGCCTAATTATGGAGTATCCATTATATACTTAACACTTCAGTGTATTTATTTGATACAAATGTCAAAACAACCGCATGATTTATATAATTTTTTTTTTTGGTACTGGGAATCAAACTCACAATCTTGTGCTTGCCAGGCAGGTGTTGTGCCGCTGAGCTATATCCCCAGCCCAACCACATGGTTCATAAAGTTTCATCAATATTCATCTAAGCAAACTGGCTGTGTGATTGCATTAAATTGTATAATGCTTCAATCAAAATGAAAGGAGCAGTAAAGGTAAAAGTGATACAAAACTGTCCTCTTTGAGAGGGAAATAATGGAGTATACCAAATAAAATATATCTTAATATACATAGTTACTATGGAATTATATTTTCTAATTAATTTTGCAACAAAAGTCTAGTAAGAAATTATCTTAAAAAACACAAAACATTTGTTTTTAAATCTACTTTTTGTGAGTTTAACCAAGAGCATTTTAATACCCTAATAAAACCCTATTGCTTTATTTTTAATGTCTATTAGTATAAGTTTGCTGTACATATGACTTACATTCATTGTGGGGAATTGGTACATGTAAATAACATATCTCAGTTACTTTTACTTTTCCTCACCCTCTCTTCCCTCCCTCTCCCTCCATCTCTAATTCCCTTTCACTTTTGTAGAGGATTTATCACCCTATTCCATAACATCTATCTTTTTAATTTTTTTCTGTCTTTTTGAGACGGTCTCACTATGCAGTTCATGCTGGCCTTGAGCTCACTTTGTAGCTGAGTTTGGCCTTGAACTCACAACAATCCTCCTGCTTCAAACTCCTGAGTGCTGGGATTACAGGTGTGTGCCACCAGGCCCAGCTCATAATATCTTCTACTTTGCTTTTTAAATTATTTATGCCTAGGGTTTCTCATATAAAAGAAACCATGCAATATTTAAGCTTGTGAGTCTGATTGATTTTACTTAACATTATAGCCTCAAGGTGGATCCATCTTCCTACAAATGACTCAGTTTGTTTTTGTTTTTGTTTTTGTTTTTTTGTCTTTTTGAGACAGGGTCTCGCTATGTAGTTCAGGCTGGCATTGAGCTCACTTTGTAGCCCAGGCTGGTCTTGAACTCAGCAATGATCCTCCTGCCTCAGCCTCCCGAGTGCTGGGATTACAGGTGTGTGCCACCACGCTCGGCCAGATTTATCCTTTATGGCAAAATAGTACTCCATTTGGTATCAATATCATATTTTCTTTAACCAATTATCTGGTGATGAACATTATAGACTTTTTTTTTTTGTCTTTTTGAGACAGGATCTCACTATGCAGTTCAGTCTTGCCTTGAGCTCACTTTGTAGCCCAGTCCAATCTTGAACTCACAATGATCCTCCTGCCTCAGCTGCCCGAGTGCTGGGATTACAGGCATGTGCCACCATACCCAGACACTTTCAAATCTTAGTTATTATGAATTGTGCTGTTATAAACATAAGTATACATGTATCATTGAAACATGAGGTCCTAAACTTTTTTAGGATGGTACCTAGAAAGGGAATATCTGGGTCTAATGGAATTTCTATTTTTAGTTGTTTGAGCAATCACCATACTGATTTCCGTAATTCTTTTATGTACTAGTTTACATACCCAATAGCAAGGTAGAAGGGTTCTTTTCACCCTGGAGTCTTGTGGCATTTGTTGTTGAGTTCTTGATGATGGCCATTCTTTCTGGGGTAAGGTGGAGTTTCAGTGTTGTTTTAATTTGTGTTTCTCAATGGCCAGAGATGCTGAGCATTTTTGTATATTTATTGGCTATTTTTATTTCTTCCTGAAATTCTGTAGTTAAAAATCAGAATCATGATAGTTCATGTAAATGTGGGTTTGGGTAGGGGCCTAGGGTGGTCCTTCTTGAAGTATGTCCACTTGGACTTGGGATGTTAACTACAAGGTTAACCCTGGCATGTTCTTCTGGTGACAGCAGAGGTGCAGGAAACTATGGTAAAAGAATTTTTATCACTTCATTAACTCTTTTTATACTGTAATATATTTTATTTTGTAAAATATTTACTGAGTGCCATATCTGTGCTAGTCTGTGTTACAGTGTTAATAAAATAGACAAGGTATCTTCTCCTAAGGATTTAACATTTTAGTTAAGGAAGATATACAATCAGTAAACAAGTTTTAAAAATCAGAACTCCAATGAGAGTTAAATGCTATGAAGACAATCTCATAGGTAGATGGGATACAGAATGGTGGGGCTCTACATTAGATAGAAGGGTAAGAAGAGACTACTTCTTGCGATCTTTGTCCTTCTTTATGTTGGTGCATGGCTGAGTCTGCAGTGTCTCACAGGCAGCCTTTGTTTTACAAAACTCTATTATTTCTTCTTCCAATTGTCTTCTCTCCTCTTCAAGCTTCATTATCTCCTCTTGTTGAATCCTTTTAAGGTGCTCAAACTTGTCCTGTAGCTATTAAAAAATGTGTAGTTATGGCCCTAAATACAGTGAGGCAGAAAACGTGAAAGAATACACTTGTCCTTTTCTTGATATCAAACAACCTAAAATTTGCTAATTAAATGTTCAGATACAAAATTTTCTTTTCAAAAAAAACAAACAAACAAACAAACAAAATTTTCTTTTCTTTTCTTTTTCTTTTCTTTTTCTTTTTTTTTTTTTTTTTTGGTACCAGGAATCAAACTCAGGATCTTGTGCTTGCCAGGCGGGCGCTTATACTGCTGAGCTATATCCCCGGCCCGAAATTTTCTTGATTTAAAAATTGAATGTGTTCTTATTGAATGAAACATAATAAAACACACAGTTGTGAACAAAACACGATTTTCATAAAAATTCCCTTTTTCCTAAAGAAAAACATTTTTGCTATAATTTCTCATTCAGCATTTTTCCTATAAATTCCCTTTTGACAAAGTTTGATAAGTCCATGATCATTAAAATGCACACATTGGAGGCAGGCAAGGTGGCTGAAAAGGGGTGTCCAGCATTTACCTGCTCTTCTGCAAAGAAGAACAGAAGCAACAGGCAGGCAGCTGCACACTGATATAAGTGAGCGTGGAAGAACACTGGAATTGAAAAGGGGGGGGGTAACAGAGACCTTGTAAAATTCTGGAGACCTGGAACAGTAGCATAGCAAGGGAACCAAAACGTCCTATTACTTGCCAACCTGGCCCCACAGCTGGGGAAAAGGCAGTCTCTCCTCTTCAGGGCTAAAAGTGAAAGCCTAGGTAAAGCCTATCAGCACAGACACTGACAATCCTGCTGATTGGAAACTTGCACTGGCCTTGCAGGTTTGTAGCCTAAATAGAAAACAGGCCTGAAATATGCATAGTAGTTTGACTATGGAATAGGAATTCAGTTCATTTCTCCCCCAGGATGCTGTACCTGGGAGCCACCTTGAGAAGGGACCTAGTTTATGAATTTAGATGCTTTAGAGGTGGAAAGACCGATATATTCCCATCTCTGGGACGCAGCAGACATCCGCTGCACTGGCCGAGCCAGTGGCTCCCTCATGAACCAGATTTGCTCAGTGGAACGACTGACACAAACAAGCCGAAAGTGCTGCACAGTGGGGAGTGGGTGTTGCAGTGTGAAAGGCAAGGGAGGGTGCCATGCACAAGAACTGTGGGATCAAGGAGCCTGATCTCTGAGACTGCAGATGTGGCCTGTGGCACGTGGTTTTACACAGGTGCCAGGGCTGAGAGCTGTTACTTATGCCATTCACAGGACTCCTCTCCCGGTGCCATGCACAGGGGCCTGTCACTAGCACACAAGAAGAGGAATTCTTATTTTTGACCATTGTTCTAACCCACTGTGGGAACCACTCAGACTGCTTCAAAGCTCAGGTGCATCTCAGAACACCCGAGGACGTGACCCCACTGCCTAGTGCAAGCACAAAGTGGGATACAGTTATGCAACCGTGACTTAGCAGTGGTCAACTCTGCATACACAAATGAGGCTATCACGTAAGAATGTAAATATGAGACAACAACTTGTGTAAGAATTATACAGTAAAGACACAGGTGGCTCTTGGGCTCCTGTGCTGTTGCTCTGCTCGTCTGCCTGCTACTGCTGTGTTGCTGATATCTGCCTCTTTGTATTTCTTTGGGGACCTTATTCTGAAAAACTGCTTCAGGCTTCTCAGCCCTGACACCCACACAAGCATGCTGGGGCAGATCTGAGGAATGGCAGCACAGCCCCAGCTAGAGCCCTGCCCCTGAAGCACACAGCCTAATAGGATCCTGAGGAAAACTGTCCCCAGCAGAGTTGGCTACACTCCAATGTCTCCTTCTTGTGAGCAGCTCAGGTAAGAGGAATTTTACCTCGATCCAGCCACAGTCCGCCTATGTTTCATCCCTAATGAGCACTACAACAAAGAAAATCAGGGGAGGGGAGCCTCTGACGTCCGCGCCATCTCTAGGCATACAGAGTGAGGAAGGTCCTGAGGTCCTGCTCCTAGGCAGACACATCCACAGTAGCAAAAGAAACAAGGAATAGCATGACTTTTTCTGCCTGCACATTGATGTGAGTCCACTGTGTCAGTCACACCCACACCTTGACTGAAAACATGCTACTGATAAGATTTGGTTTCAGTTTCACAGAATAAAAAAGAGTTATTCAAGCCTCGACCTCTCCCCCATAGCACCAGTACCTGCACTAGTGCCTAATCAGGGCACAGGTGCTTGTGGCTCCTCATCACTAGAGCAGCAGGCAATACTAGAGTCCCATTTCAGCAGGAGAGCCAACAACAGTGCCGGAAGAAATCCCTGTCATCCAAGAGGGGCCACCACTCCCATGGTAAGAGTAACCACGCAGGGTACATATTCCACTATGTACATCATACCTCTCTCACTTCCTTGGTTAGGTTAATTTCTAACTACTTAATTTTTCTTGGTGCTGTCTTAAATGGTATTTATTAGTTTCTTTCTCAGTGGGTTCTTCATTAGTGTACAGAAATGCTGTTGATTTTTGCATGTTAATTTTATAACCTGCTACATTACTGAACTTGGCTATTAATTGTTTGTTTTTGGTACCAGGAATCAAACTGAGGACCTTGCACTTGCCAGGCAGGTGCTGTGCCACTGAGCTCTATCCCCGGCCCTGGTTATTAATTCTAAAAGTCTATTGGTGGATTTTTTGGGGTCTTTCTGTGGAGGATCATGTCTTCTGCAAATAATGATAATTTGACTTCTTCTTTCATATATATATATATATATATCCCTATGTTTTCTTGCTTAATTTTTCTTACTAAAGTTTCCAGTATTAAGTTGACCAAGAGTGGTGATAGGGGACATCCTTATCTTCTTCCTGCTTTTAGAGGGAAAGCTTTCAGGTCTTCCCATTTAATATGATATTGGCAGTAGGTTTTGTGATAAATCTTTATCTGATTGAGGTAAGGTACTTCTATACCTATTTTCTTTACTGTTTTTATGGAAGAATATTGGATTTTGTCAAAGGCTTTTTCTGCACCTATTATGATGTGATTTTTGTCTTTGCTTTTGTTTATATGATGTACTACATTTATCAATTAGCATATATTGAACCAGCCTTGCACTTGTGGAATGATGCCTACTTGGTCATGATGTATGATCTTTTTGGCAATTCACTGCATTGTGTTTGACCATATCTTGTTGAGGATTTTTGCATCTATATTCAATAAAGAGATTGGACTATAGTTCTCTTTTGTGGTTAGATCCTTGTTGGATCTTGGAATTAGGGTAATGCTAGCTTCCGGGAATGGCTTTGGGAGTACTTCTTCCAATTTCATTAAAAAGCTTGAAGAGTGCTTGGTGTTAGAACTTTCCTGATGTTTATGTAGAATGAAGTATTGAACCTGTCTGGACCTGGGCTTTTCTTGGTTGGTTATTTATTACTGTTTCAGTTTCATTGGCTGTTATCAGATTATTCAGGGTCTTTAAATCTTCTTGGTTCAATTTTGGTAACTCATATGTATCTAGGAGTCTACCCATTTTTTATGAATTCTTCAATTTACTGGCATACAGGACTTGTGAAGTACCTGTTAATGTTTTTTTTTTTATTCCAGCAGTATCCATTGTGATTTCACCTTTTTCATTTCTACTTCCATTGCTTTGGGTCTTCTCTCCCCTTCTTTTGGTTAGATTGCCTATAGGTGTATTTTGTTAATTCTTTGGAAGAATCAACTCTTTGATTCATTCAAACTTTGTATTTCTTTTGTCTTAATTTCAATGATTTTTGCTCTGGTCTTTATAATTTCCCTCCTTGTACTAATATTGGGTTTGGGTTGTTCTTGTGTATCTAGAGCCTTGAGTGCAATGCTGGTTATTTATTTGGATTCATTCTGCTTTTGTGATGTAGGCATTCACACCTATAAACTCACCTCTTAGGACTACTGTCACTGTCCCATAAGTTCTGCTATGCTCTACTGGCATCATAATTTAATTCTAAAATCTGTCTTATTTTTTCCATAACCCATTGTTTAGTTAAGAGTGTATTGTTTAGTTTGCATATTTTTTGTGGGGTTTTGTCACTGATTTCTAACTTCTTTGTGCTATGATCTGATAACATGCACCATATAATTCAATTCTTTCACATTTCCTTAAGCTTGCTTTATTGGCTAGTATGTGGTCTATTTTGGAGAAAATTCCACATGCTGCTGAAAAGAATATGTATTCTACTGTTGGGTGGAACTCTCTCTATATATATCTATTGTCTATTTCTTCAAAGGTTTTGTTTAACTCTGGTATTTCTTTGTTGATTTTTTGTCTGTTTGATCTGTCTATTTATGACAGTAAGATATTGAGGCCCCCCACTGTAATTATGTTTATACTTATCTGATCTTTTATGTTCAGTAGTACTTGTTTTATGAAGTTAAGTGTGTCATTGTTTGGTGTATATATGTTAATAATTGTTATATCTTCCTGTTGGATTGTTCTCTTAATATGTAGTGACTTTCTTTGCCTCTTTTTCTTTCTTTGCCTCTTTTGATCAGTGGCTTGAAGTCCACTTTGTTTGAACACAGAATACCTATGTATTTAAATTTTTGGGGGGGTGTTCCTGTTGCATGAAGTATTGTTTTCTATTCTTTGGTTTTTAATCTGAGTTTCTTTTTGGGTTAAATGTGTTTCTTGATCCATTCTGCCAGCCTGTGTCTTTTGATTAGGGAACTAAGACCACACACATTGAGAGTTATTATTGATAGTTACTGACTTAATCTTGTTGTTGACTTATTTCCTGTTGTTGATTCCCTGCTTTTACCTTCTATTTACCTGTTCACCCTACCTGGTGTATTCACTCTATTCAACATTTTATCAATGATAGCTTCATTGTCTCTTTCTAGATTATCTTTGAGAACTTTTTGGTTTGATGGTCATGAATTTCTTTTGGTTCTCTTTATCATGAAAGTATTTTAATTCTCCATCATTTTCAAAGGTGATTTTCCAGGATATGTCAGGCTTGGTTGGAAATTATTTTCACTTAGAGCTTGAAACACTTCACTCCCAAGCTCTCCTAGCATTTAAGGTTTGTGTTGAAAAGTCTGCCACAATTCTAATGGGTTTTCCTGTAAGAGTGTTTCATTGTTTTTCTCTAACCACTTTTATGATTCTGTTCTTGTGTTCAACTTCCTAGATTTTGATTATGATGTGTTATGGAGATGCCCTTTTCTGATCATGGCTATTTGGTGTTCTGCATGCCTCACTTGTCTGTATGTTAAATTCTTTTCCCTTATTTGGAAACTTTTTTTGCTATTATTTCAATAAACATTATTATGCCATTTATGCTATCTTCTGATTCTTCACTAATTCAAATTTATCTTAGATTAGTCTTTGTATCACTTAAGAGGTGGATCATTTTTCATGTTTTCTTGTTGTTTTTAAGCTATCTTTCATTAATTAATTGGTCACCAACAAAAGCCCTGTCTCCTAGTTCTGACACTATTCTCATATTGATCTCCTGAATTTCTATTTGGAACTTTTTTATGGACTAGTTCTTTTCTGTGGTGGTCATGAATGTTTTACATCATTTTGTTTAATTCTTCACTATCTTTTTGTCAGTGTCTTCCATAAACTCACTGATAATTGTATTTATTTGGCCAAGAATTTTTTCAAAGCATGTTTGGGAGAGAATGGTGATGTGGCCAAACAGCTATTTACTAAAGAAATTAATATTTGTAGAAAGATGACAGGATTTATTCATCAAGACAATGGGAGAATGACCCTGAATGTACCTCAGAGATATTCAAGGAAAGTAAGGACACCAAAGGCAAGATTTCCAGAGAGGAAGAGAAGTTCTCTAGGGACCTCAGCATTTGCTGTTCTTCTCCACTTTAGGACTCAGCTCCACTAAATGCAGTTCGATGCCTCTTTGTAACCCTAGTAATTATTCAAGTGAGCCCAACTGTGGTTCAACCTGATGATCTGGAAGGCACGAGTCATAAAACTTGGCAGCACTCATGGTGCTAATTCTGCTGGCATGCACACTGTAAGAGCTGTTGGGCTATGAAGTCCCAACCTAGACTTCAGAGAATATCACGAATGGTCTGAGGACTCAAGTAGTCCTTCTCACAGGAATATTAGCCATTGCAGAGAGTACCCATGAGCAATGCTTTATAACTGAGGCCACTACAAAGAGTCTCCAATAGGGGAATCCCTTGTGCAGCCAGGAGCTTGAGGCAACACCCAAGACTGCAGAACTGCAGAGTTCCCAGAATGCAGCTCAATTCTGGGAAGGCTTGGGAATCAGATCCCAATTTGTGAGGCTGCCGGTAAACTGAGCCCAGCAAAACCCTGTGGGTAATGCTGCGACCTTCAGTGCCCAGCCCCTTGCTACCGTATATCAGAGATGCAGAACATTTAAGTAGAGGGTAGAATTTTGTAAAGGCCACATCCAGATTTTTCATAGTGAATTGCTACCTTTTGAGGAATAGCAAATTTTTTCCAAAAACATCAACTAGTATCTTGAGATTACTCCCAATAGGACACCTAAAAATAAATACAGATTGTCATCAAACTGGCAGTAAGTACTTGCCTCTTTTTCAGCATCTTTAAATGCTGTTTCTCTATCCTTTACTTGTTGCATAAACCTTTTTTTCAACTCTTCTTCCTCCCTGTGACATTGTTCATAGAACTGTAGTCTTTTGGCTTCATATATCTCTTGAAAACTGAAAAAAAAAAGAGTTTCCATTCTTATATACAAATATTGACATAAATAAACATGTAAATAATATATTTGTATATTAGGTCCCATAAAATGACATTTACAAATATTCTGTTTTGTGTATCAGCACCGAATGGAAATTTCATTATCATGGGACATACAAATTATAACACAATATTTATACAAAAGTAAATGTAGAGAATAAATAAAAACACTTATATCAATGACTTCTTATACTCCTGCTTTACATTATATCATCCTTCACATCTTTTGAAAATAAAATTTGAGGAAACCTCCAAGGTCTAACAGTGTTTTCAAAATAGTTCAAATAAAGCAAAGCACCAGTTAATTATTCACTTAAGTAGTACAATTATGGTTGTACTCACAGAGCCATAGTGAATATAACTGAATTATACTACTATACCTAATTTTGCAGTATAAATACTATTCTTCTTCAATATATCTAAAAGCATCTGCTTTCAGCAGAAGCATTCTGACTTCTAGCAAAGTATATTGCAAATTTTCAACTCTTTCTTCCATCAAACCTTCTCATTATCTTTTGACAATTTTTGTCAGTCTTTGCTAATACCTGACAATTTCATCCTTGAGCATATGCTTTGCATAAACACAAAAATTTAAGTAAAGTGATATTTTTGGATATACATTTCAATATATGACATAAATATGGCCTTTCATTTTTATTTCTACTATTTCCATCTAGGTTTGAAAATGATTAAAACACCTGTAATTCACAATGGCCCAGGATGAAAGAAGTACAATTATTCTTATATGATTGAGTTATTAAGTACAGTTATCCTCAAATGATTGTATCTTGTGGCCTTTTAAATGACCTATTCAGTTGTGATAGCAATTTCTGCACTCACCTAATAGGCTGATTGTCTGGGCCCACATCAGTAAAACCCATTTTCCTCAGTTTTCTGTACCTATAGCATTCATAGTGATGAATGTGGGTTTGTTCTTTTAGGTCTTCCATATTGGTACGAAGAAGCATATCCCGGAGCTTAACAAAGTCACAGTGATTTTCATTTTCCACTAGTTATAAAAATAAAACCCAAAATACTTTCAATCGTTGGCAGTCAACAAACATTCTTAAATAAAAGCATGGATGAAATGCATTTAAAACAATACACAAGTAATCAATCTGAGTAACAGCTATAATTCTAGATACTAGTCCTCTGAGGAATTGCTGGCAAAGTGCTTTTCCTACTCACTCTGTTGGTTGGTTGTCTCTTCACTCTGTTGGTTGTTTCCCTTGCTATGCTGAAGTTTTTCAATTTGATATGACCCTACTTGTTGATTATTGGTGTTTCAATTTTAAAAACAACATTTAGAAACCAATATAGGCAGAAATATTCCATTTCTAAAAATTTTTTACTATAAGCATATAAACAAAACAATAAATCTCCATACATTACAATATCCTAACTTGCCATGCAGTTAAGTAACTAATATAAATGTTGAAGGTATAATATAGCCAGATGTCAGTTGTACTTCTTTGTTTTGAAAAAGTTTATCATTTTTATTGCCCACTTAAAGGCTTTATAAATTAGGTGGTGGTTTAGGTTACTCATGTAAACACTAAGTATTTATGCTGTGGTTCTGTTCAAAGCGTTCTGCATGTCATGGTTCAAGCATAGAGATGAAATATGAAATATCCGGTAAACAAGGGAGTCCTGCTCAGTTTCTGCGTATTTTTGTCTAAACCAATATCTGTTGAATTTCTGTGAGACTGGATCAAAGTCAAAGGAAGCATTATCTTAAATGAAATAGAACCTTTATTCCTCGTTAGTAACTGTTAATTTATAGGTTAACAAGAGTTGCCAATACTGGCTGAAGTCAAAATGCTATTTTGAGACAGTAGATGATGTATGTTGTGTATCTGACTGAATCATCCAAGAATCTGCTTTGTTCATATTTACCTTGCAAAACTCCCCAAGGGTAGTGACGGCCTCTGACCACCCTTTTTCCAACTTTCACTTCATCCGTACTCCCTACCACAGCAAAAGGTAATATTGCCTAGGGAAGAAGAATAACATAAACTGAATTCCCTCATAACAATCAGAGTCACTGCATCATTCATTTTTCTGTTATGGAAATAGCAGAGGCAGTAATATCACAATGAATTTAAATAAATAACATATCTACCCTGCATCTGGTTTTAAAACGTAGAAGAAAAGACATGGTAAATGACTTTGGGAAGCGCTATTTCATGCTGTGTGCACAACTGAAAACTATCTATTTAGTACTGCCTAAAGCAAGGCATGACGTTGTGTGCAATACAAAAGAAAAGATTTTGAGTGGATATATAATTTTCCTCAAACTATTTGTACCCCAGGACACAGGCACTGCTGAGGAAATAATATTCAAGCCACATTTAAAGCCAATATAGAAACTATAAGACAAAGGTATTAAAATTATAAAATATATTATAATCATCATATAAAATAAATAATTATATAAAATTGTAATATATTAAAATATAATAAATTAAAATTACATTAATATTGGTATAGTAATTCATTAATTGATGTGTAATATAAAATATATGAATATATATATCCCAATGGATTCTAAGTATAATTAGAGCACAAGGGGCTACTTGTGATCTTAAGGGTCAGAAGGATTCTGAAAAATAAAATGTAACCCAAAGGATAGAGGATGATAAGCAAAATAAGAAGAGCAACCAAAGGTAGGAAGGTTTTGGACCATATACAAAGGCAGGAATATTCTTTTTTTTTTTTTTTTTTTTGTCTTTTTGAGACAAGATCTTGCTGTACAGTTCAGGCTGGCCTTGAGCTCACTTTGTAGCCCAGGCTGGTCTCGAACTCGCAACAATCCTCCTGCCTCAGCCTCCCGAGTGCTGGGATTACAGGCGTGCACCACCACGCCCGGCAAAGGCAGGAATATTCAATGTAGATTCATGGTCTGTCAGAAGTTGTAATGAATCCCAGTGGCAGAAAAGAGACTAATAGAGTATATATGAGTCGGAATTTTGACATAATGGAAATGTCTAAGGTTAAAATGATTAACAATTGTGTTAAATACTTAATATTGAACTATTAATTGGCCATGTTGAAAAATTACTCCATAAAAAGATTCTTTACAGTTAAGCACTTAGAGGTACAATTTTCAAGACATAATATAAAGGAGGCCACAATTTTCAAAATATGGAAACTAAGACAATCAGTAACAAGAAAAACTTTGGAAACTAAACAACTTACTTTTGAACAATTAATAGACCAAGAAAGAAGTCTAGAACAGAATTTTAAAATTTCTTGAAAGAAATGAAAATGCAGAGAAAATGTCCCCAAACTTATGGGATAACAGCAAAAGCACTACTAAGGGGAAAATGAAAGAAATCAATAACCATGCTAAACCGGGTGTGCTGGCACATGCCTGTAATCCCAGCACTTAGGAGGCTGAGGCAGGAGGATTGCTACAAATTGAAAGCCAGCCTGGGCCACATAATTTCAAGGTCAGTCTGGACTACATAGTGAGACCCTGTTTCCAAAAGAATAACCCTCAAAACAAAACAAAAACAAAAACTAACCACATTAAACAGTAAAAACATCTCAGATAAACAACCTATACCTCAAGGATCTAGATAAAGAACAACAAGCTAAATTAGTAGAATGAAAGAATTAATGAAAATCAGAAAATAAGTAAAATGGAGACTAAAAAATCAAAAGATCAGTGAAAGAAAGACCAGGTTCTTTGAAAAGAAAATAAACAACCCAGACAGACTAAGAAAAAATGAGAGAGAGAAAATCAAATAAGACCAGAGATAAAAGGAGAGAGATTATAACTGGTATCATAGAAACATAAAAGATCACTAGAGATTATTGTGAAGAACTAATGGATAAATTCCTAAACACATACACCTCACTAATATTGAATCACGAAAAAGTAGAAAACATAGAGACCAATAAAAGTAACAATACTGAATCAGATATTAAACGATAAGACCAAACATAATTTCACTGCCAAATTCTGGGACACCAGGCAGTGTGCTCCTGATAGGACAGTGGATGAAGTCATGTGTGTGAAGCCAAAGGTGTAATAGAGACCCCAGAAGTTAGGAGAAGCCAGGAATGTGGATCATCTGAGGAAAACTGAAAGGGCCAAGCAAAGCTGGCCTAAGAGAGAAGCCATGGGAGCTACAAGCACGGAGCGTGCCATAGGGGCGGAGCCACCCAAGCCCTTTGGAGTTCACCTCTTGCCACAGATTGCAGCAGATGCTGGATGTGGACCTACAGGATTTAATGTTCGTCCTCTTGTATTTTGGGCTTGCTTTGGTCCCATTCCTTTCTATTCCCCTATTTAAACTTTCTAGAATGGGAATATTTATTTTGTGCCATTGTGTGTTCGAAGTGTGTAGCTTTTGCTTTTTTTTTTTTTTTTTTCTTTTTTTAAATTTCTACAGGGGCTCACAGTTAAGAATTTACCTTACATGTCAGAGGAGACTTTGGATTTAAACTCTTCAGCAATGCTGAAACTGTTAGGAGTTTGGCAACTCTTAGAGATGGACTAAATGCCTTTTTCATAAAGGGATGTCCATTAGTATTTTGGCCAGGAGTCTTGGGGCAGCAGTTGGGGTGGAATATTATGACTTGTGTCTAGATGTCCCTCCAAAGCCTCGAGTGCTCATAGGTGGGGCTTTTCAGTGCTGGCTGGACCTAGAGTGTGTGATACCGGGGTTAAACATGTGTGGTACTAAATTAGTTCTCTGAGCCGGGTGTGGGAGCTCATGCCTGTAATCCCAGTACTTAGGAGGCTGAGGCAGGAGGATCCTTGCGACTTCGAGACCAGTCTGGGCTACAAAGTGAGCTCAGGGCCAGCCTGAATTGCATAGTGAGACCCTGTTTCAAAAAAAGAGACTAAATTAGTCCACTGATTGGAATTAGCATAGTTCTGGGTGTGGCTGAGTAGATTTACCAAAGACAGAGGCCCCACCCTGGGTGAGTGGCACCACCCAAAATGTGGGTAGTTTGGATGGGAAAAAAGGGAAAGGCAGGCTTGCTTCACTGCTTGCCGCTTGCCACCTGCTGCCTCCTGCCTGCTCTGCTGCGCACTGCTTTGCCCCTGTGATGCTCCCAGCCACGCCACCCTCCTTGGAGCTGGCTGACCGTGGACTGAAACTGGTACTGACTGTGAGCTAAAAGGAAGCTCTCCCCCTTCAGCCTGTGGGTGTCAGATATATTGTCTCTGAAGTGCAGAAAGTAACTAGGACATCCTTGATGAAGACAGATCCAAAAATCCTCAACAAAATCGTACTAAACTGAATTAAAAATCACATTAGCAATGTTATTCCCCATAACCAGGGATACAAAAGCAGTTCAACTACACAAATCAATGACCATGACACACTGTATCAATGGAATAAGGGAAAAACACTTCTCAGTCATCTCACATGATACAGAAAAGACTTTTCAAAAATTCAGTATCTCTCCTTGACAAGAACGATTAATAAATTAGGCCTATGAGGAGCATACCTCAACACCACAAAGGCTATGTATCATAAGGCAATGCCTGATATTACATTAAATAGGAAAAGCTGAAGGTTTTTAAAAATGTGAAACAAAACAACGATGATCATTTTCACCACTTTTATTCAACATAGCTGTGGGAGTCCTTGCCATGGGAATTATGCAGCAGAAAGGATGAAGGGACCTTCAACTGGAGAAGAAGTAATCAAATACTGTACACAAATATATAGCAACACTTTTCATAACATCCAAAATGTGGAACAAGCCCAACTAGTTCAGTTAATTAATGGATCCATAAAATATGGTAAAGTCGCAGGATAATATTTGGCCACAAAGAGGAATGAAGTACTGATGCATGCTAAATGATTGGTAAACTCTGAGAACAGTAACCTAAGTGAAAGAAAAAGACACAAAAGATTATGTACATTGTTTAACTAATTTAAAGTGTCCAGAAGAGAGGAATCTACACATAGAGATATAATGTAAGTTAATGGTTGCTCAGAACTCAAGAAAGGACAACATCGGAGAAATCAGCAAGAGAAGAGCTAAAGGACAAGGGATTTCTTCTTGAAGCAATGAAAATACTCTAAAATTGCCAAGGTGGCTGCATATATCTGTTAATGTACTAAAATCATTGAACTGAATACTTTAAAAGAGTGAACAGTAAAGTATGTGAACTAAATTTAAACAACACTATTTTTTATTTTCAAAAAGTTGATTCTTGGCAAGCATTTTCAAAATCAAAAAAATTTCCCCTCACTGGATTTTGGGGGAAAACACATTGTTTATTGACTCTTTTTCAGATACAGGTGACAATGTATTACTAATATTGTAACTTCTAAACTATACTTCATTTGCACATGAAACAATTAATATTCAACCGTTCAGAAGCTTACATTCATTGAGGAGTTTATCTGAGCAACAGTTTCATCGTCTGTTGGGAAGTGATATATCTGGATGCCACTGCTGATCAATTCACTCATTATCTTACTCTTGAACTTCTGCAAATCATTTTTAGAAACTGTATCTGCTTTGGCAATCAATGGTATAATGTTCACCTATTAAGAAGGAAACAAAATTTCACGCATGAAGATTCACTGTTTATCCTGTAGTACTCACAGTCTAACATTTATAACCTCTGGAAATAAATCTCTGTGACTGGCTGTCAGTCCCCCCTTCACAAATTGTTTTCCTCAAACCATCGATGAAGAACTTGGAAAATCCATTTTTTATCAGAATGCAGGTTTAGAACACTCCGTCTTTTCTCTTATAAAAATCTCTGTTATTTCCAACCCATCTGAACTTAGTAAAGTATAATAGGATGAACTAGGCTGTTTATTTCATTATCAATTTTATTTCCTATTAAACTGAGTTATGAGAATGAGAGACCACTCATATTTTAGAAGAGATAGCGCCTTCCTTTTAAGCATTATTCGTGTTCACTACTTTCTCCATGAAAACATACTGATCAGTGCTCTGTTACCATGTACTTATTGTACGTATATGCACTCACAGGCAGATTTGCGTGTGTTTTTCAATGACCACCTCAAACTAATGCAAACATTTTTATTACCAAATTCAAAAGGCTGACAGTATGTGCGCCTATGAATGAAAACCACTTTGTTAGCAAGTATGTTCGTCTGTAATTAAATAAAGGAATTATTCCCACATTTGAAGTTAAATATCTGCAGGTTGAGATTGGATGTTTTATTTATAAACATTTTCCTAGTTCTACAGTATGGTCACATCTTTGTCTATGTGTTTAGATTTAGATAAATTTTATAGAAAATATTAATATGGGAAATTCAAAAATATTACTTTTAAAATATCTTATTAAATAATAGCTACAAGGGGCTGGGGATTTAGCTCAGCAGCACAGCGCCTGACTGGCAAGCGCGAGGTCATGAGTTCGATTCCCAGTACCAGAAAAAAACAAAACAAAACAAAATAATAGCTACACATGTTAAAATCTATACTATAGTAAGAATTATTAAGTATCAGTTTTAGGTAGATTGGTTTTGTTTTAGATTTCTCAAAGCACATTTTTAAATACCTGGGAGAATTTGAGTTTTCAGTATTATAATATAGATAGTCAAAATTTTGTATAGTATTTCAATATAGAGTTTCCAGAAAAAGAGCAGACAATTGCTGAGGTCGATTCATCCTTAAAGTAGATTTTTACAACTGTACTGGGCAGGCAGCCTGGAAAAGATATCTTGCAGTGACAGTAAATCATGCACACGTAGAAAACAGAAACTTCCTGTGTTAATAATTACTGAAATGTTCATATTTGAGGGGGGAAATACATTTACTGCCAAAAGAACTCAACTAGAGAAAGAGAACACAACAGATATGTGTGTGTATGTATGTATTCATCCTTGAACTTGTTGCCACTTGATATTACACACTAAGTTTTTTCCAGATTGAACAATACACAACAAATGTTAAGACTTTTTGATTTTTTTTGTTTTTTGAACCGGGAATTGAACTCAGGACCTCATGCTTGCCAGGCAGGTGCTGTGCCGCTGAGCTATATCCCCAGCCAAAGATTTTTTGAAAAAGAGCCTAAAATTAGAGCCTTTTCTGTGCAACCAAGAAAGCTAACGACAATGTGTTTTATTTATTTACAACAATCTGATGATGTGGCAGTTTCATTCATAGGGATGGTGCTTCTCTATGGGAAAATAAACACTTCTAACTTTCATGTGAAGTTATTTTAAATGGATATAAGTAAGAGCTACATACGTAGTACAGAGGAAGAGATTGAGTCTTTACAATTTTCCCAAAGCCACACAGGCTGACAAGCAGTAGGTTAGGTTTTGAAATCAGACAACTTGAAACAATGGCCCAGGATTTTAATCACAGAAAGCTCAAGAGGCTTTCCCAAGGCCACAGAAACTAAGGTGTGATAAAGTATTTAAAAAGTGCTTCCACTGACAGCAAATCCTTTGAATTTTTTTTCTGGCATTTAAATTCTTTTTTTTTTTGGTACCGGGAATCAAACTCAGGACCTTGCACTTGTTAGGCAAGCACTTGTGCTGCTGAGCTATCTCCTGAGCCCTTAAATTGACTTAATAGAATAATTTTCCATATACTCAAAATAAATGATAAACTAAAAAAATGATTAGAAAGTGGATCAAATAAATAGGGCCTCATAAAATTCATCAAGATTTTTCTAAAAACACAGGAATAAGCAGCCTGTCGAAAAGGAAGCCCACATGGGTCCCATGTTTTTGCTGGAAAGAATTTTATATATATATATATATATATATATATATTTTTTTTTTCCCTTTCTACATAGCAAGAAGTAGCTGCTTGGATGTTACCCATTGTGAATCCTTCCTGGCAGGACTTATAGACAGAATCGAAAAACCTTCATGTATCACAGTATCAGTGGCACCAGAGGTAAATAGGGTTATTTTATAGTACCACAGAGTAAATTTGATTTCAAAAATACAGGCAAATGCCCATGACCTGAATTAGCATTCAATCAGAGAAAAAACCCTAACTAAATTTTTTTACATGCCTGTCCTTCTACTAAGGTCCAATCTAAAATAAATGTATGTAAAAAGTAATTTAACACTGAAATGATTAAATGTTGAGTTGTCCCTACCACTAAATTCGTATGTTGAAGCCCCAGCCTTCAGTATCTCAGACTTTAAAGAAGTGATTCAAGTTCAATGAGGCTCAACAGTGGGTCTAGTCCAGTTTGCTTTGTGTCCTTCTAAGAAGAAACTCGGACGTACAAACACCAGAAGGCCATGTGACGGTGAAGACCCCCAACCAAGAAGAGAGGGTTCAGCAGAAACAGACCTTGCCAACACCCTGATCTTGGACTACGAGCCTCCAGGACTGTGAGAAATGCTTCCTCCCTGTTTAAATCGTCCAGTCTATGGGATTTTGTTATTGAGGTGCCATAAAGTGAGTTCAAATACTCTAAAGGCTCGCAGGAAAAGGTATTACAATACATACATACATTATAAAATAAAGGGACGTGCATGCGGATGCACCAAGATACTGTACATTACCACAAAATCAACAGTAAATACTAGAGGTCAATGGATTGACCAAACACACCTTTCTGTCAATGCTCTTCATTGTCAGCAGATCAAGAGACTTCAGAGAATGTCCTGTGGGTGAGATGAAGTAGAGGCACACATGGATACGAGAGTCTTGATACTTGAAGGAGCGCTTAATCTTCAGTTCTTCCTGAAGATAGGCCTCAAACTGAGCATCTATGTAGTCAATTATGGGTTGGTAGCTAAAAAATAAACATTTGGCATAATAAATTAATAAACTGAATCCGATTTTTCAACCATCAAATAAACAGTATGTATGCCAAACAGTTTTCCACATGGATACAAATTAGGTACTGTGCATCCATCCAAAGATAATTCTAGGCTGGAGGCGTAACTCAGTGGTGGGGTGTAGCTCGGTAGTAGAAAGCACAGCATGTCCAAGGCTGGATTCAATCCCTAACACCAAAACAGAAAACCGCAATTCCAAACCAGTAGTTAGGCCCTTGTTTTTTACGGTTAAATGGCAAAACGAGCAGTCAATTTAATACAATTACAATCAGAAACCAAACTTTTTATGTGGATATGTTTAACCAAAGAAAACCAAGGAAACCATCCATCCTTGGTTCTATACATCAGGTTTTATTCTGAAGTTAAAACATTAACGCAGTGTGGTATCAGGAGATGCAGACAAAGACACTGAAGCACAAGATAACTGTGAGGTGTGATAGAAATGTTTTATGTTATGAGTAAAATGGCACTTTTGAAGGTACAGAAATGCACCACAAAGAGTGAATCTTGCTATATGTAAAATTTAAAAACAGCAATCTAAATAAATAAGCTAGGGCTGGGGATATAGCTCAGTGGCATAAGCACCTGCCTGGCAGGCGCAAGGTCCTGAGTTCGATCCCTGGTACCGCAAAAATAAATAAATAAGCTAATGTGTAAAGAGGCAGAGAAAGAGTAGGGGAACCAACATATTGTGGGGGGGACCAACAAACTACATTTAGATATAGTGATGAAGCAAAATAAAAGGAAATGTCTGAGTGTACTGTAGATGAAAGTAAAATGAAATCTGTATCATCTTTTAAAATACCAAGGAGAGTATGGGAGAAATAGAAAATGAAATAAAACTAGAAAAACAGATCTATTTTTTAAATAAACAGGATAACCATAGCAAAAGGTGTAAGGAAGGAAAGAACTTACCAAGGTAACTGTGGAAAACCATGTTTTATCTGAACACAGTATAGCTAAAAGCAAAAAGAACTGTAAGTGGATGCTATGTTCTAGTTAGTACATTTCTATTTCACAGGAAATGGGCTAATAACTTTAATACTTCCTTGAGGTAGAGGGAAGGATTTTCAAAATCTTCACCATAGAGAGATGACAAAGTTGGGGCTGGGGCAGCGCAAGGTCTTGAGTTCAATTCCTGGTATGAAAAGAAAGAAAGAAAGAAAAAAGAAAGAGAGAGAAGAGAGAAAGAGAGAAAGAGAGAAAGAGAGAAAGCGAGAAAGAGAGAAAGAAAGAAAGAAAGAAAGAAAGAAAGAAAGAAAGAAAGAAAGAAAGAGAAAGAAAGAAAGAAAGAAAGAAAGAAAGAAAGAAAGAAAGA